CCCCAAAACCCCAAAACCCCAAAACCCCAAGTTGCAACTATCTGGATTTTGCGATTGTTTATAATTCTAGAAAAATTAAAAGAGGAAAATACTATTTTTATTTGGAATTTTTACTATTTAAGTCTCGCGAACTTTTAATATATTTATATTTATTGATTATTTAATTTTAGATCATGCTCGCTCTTATCACTGTCGGAGTTATCCTTGCCTAAGCAATGATTGTAGATTGCGGAAAATTCAATCTTGAAGTTTTAGCTAAAAAATTCACCTAGACTAATCAAGTCAACTATGTGTCTCCAACATTTAGTACAGTTGGAACTAATGGCTATGCAGTTATTGCTGTTGTGGCACCACCACTAGAAGCAAGTCAAATCTCAGATGCAAGATTCGCAGGCCAGACAACTTATATCATGCAATCATATATCAATTTCATTGAAGGTGCAGGAGCTAGAACTGTTCCACTAGTATATACACAAGACCTTAATTCAGAACTAGCTAAATTGGCAGACTTGAACGGCGTCTTGATCCCAGGAAATTCTAATTCTAACCCAGACTATGAAAAATTCGTGAAAGCTGTCTTAGATAGAGCAAAATAAATTTGTGATGCTGGAAAATTCCTTCCAGTATTGGGAATTGCTGAGGGTCTTACTCAAATTGCTCAGTGGGCAGCTAATAAAGATGCTTCAACACTCTTGACCCCAATCACAGAATCAGACTCTATGAAATCACTAACGTTTGTTAACTCTGGAAACACTTATAAGATGTTCCAAGGACTTGGAGACAAAGCTCTTATTTACTAATAATCTCCACTTACTTATTTTGATGTAAAGAGAGCCCTACTTCCAGCTAAATTCACTAGTGGCTCAAACCTCAATACTCTATTTAGAGTAACCTCAACATTCTCTGCTAATGGCTAGCAATTTGTTGCTTCATTAGAAGGTAAATCATTACCATTCTTCGCAGTTCAATTTAATGTTGACAGACCATAGTATCTATTCACTCCTTAATCAACAAGAGTAGATCACTCCTACAATGCTATTTACTACAATAGATTCTTCGCTGATTAGTTCGTCAATTATTGCAGAAGAAATAAAAACGTCTATGACAATGCTGGAGTTGAGCTTACTGAAAACTTCAAGAAGGTATTCACCTCTGGAAAAGAAGGTTTAGTATACACCTTCCCTCAAATATAATGAATTTGAAACGAAAGAAAGTATACTTACTCTTACTTTTAATAACTCCCTACTACGCTAGATATTTATTTTTTAAAAACTTAGAATAAATAAATATATCTTTTTAAATTGCATAATTTTACTTAATATTTACTATCGGGGTTTTGGGGTTTTGGGGGTCTTTTCCCCTGACT